TCAGTGGAGACCTAGACCCTGAAAGGACACACCTGGAAATCTGCTGAATATTCTACTGAGATCTTCCCCTGGGAACGCCCCTAAAATCTCCACCCTTAAAATCCTTAGGATGGCCACCCTTAAAATCCTTAGGTTTGGCTCAGTGGATAGAGCATCAGCCAGCGGACTGAAAGGCCCCAGGTACAATTCTGGTCAAGGACATGTACCTTGGTTGCGGGCACATCCCCAGTAGGGGGTGTGCAGGAGGCAGCTGATGGATGTTTCTCTCTCATTGATATTTCTAACTATATCTCTCCCTTTCTCTCTGTAAAAAAATCAATAAAATATATATTTTAAAAAAAATCCTTAGGATGAAGAAACTAGTGAATTGTACACTTACAAATGTGTAAAATGGTAAATTTTATTATTATATATTATACACACACACACACACACACACATATTTATATGTTACCAAAATAATAAAAAATGCAAACCAACCTAGGGCCAAACTTCAGAACATGGTATGAGATTCAGTATAAAACTCTAGTTATGAGATTTTCCACATATAAGATTCAGATATAAAATTGCACATGTCTCCTTGCATTCCATTTCAGTTCCTTCTTCACTTTATAAAGTACTTCAGTGTATAAATTCTAGACTTGAGCAGAATTATATGAAGTACTTCTTTTAGATTTTTCTCAGTCTAATTGAATTTCATAATGTATAACCATTTACTCATCACACACTGGCAAAGAATTGTATTTAAAAGTTTAAATGTGAATAACACATTTACATATAAATTGTAAATATTCAAAAGCAAAAAGCAAAAAGAAAACCCACAGTTGGCTCAGTTGGTTGGAGAGGCATCTAATACACCAAAAGGTGGCAAGTTTGATTCCTGGTCAAGGCACATACCCAAGTTTTGGGTTGGATTCCTGGTTGAGGCATGTGCAGGAGGCAATTGATCAATGCGATTTTCTTTCTTTTTCTCTCTCTTTCTCACCCCCCTTTCCTCTTTTCTAAAATCAGTTAAGAAAGAAAAAAAGAAAACCCACAAGATACCACTTCACACACTCTGGTATGGTTATAATAAAAAAAGGGCAATAAAAAGTGGCAATGATGTAGAGGAACATGGCTGATGGGAATGTAGAATGGTGAAGCCACTTTGAAAAATGCTTTGGCAGTTTCTCAAACCAGAGTTACCATATGACCCAGCAATTCCACCCAAGAGAAATGAAATCATCCAAATGTTTTCACAAATGTTCATAGTAGCATTACTCATTATAGCCCAAAGGTGGAAACAATCCAAATATCCATCATCTGCTAAATGGATAAACAAATGTTGTATATCTATACAACAGAATACCAATTGAATATGAAAAGTTATTAAGTTTTGATATATACTACAATATGGATAAACCTCAAAAACTGTATGCTAAGTGAAAGAAGCCAGACACAAAAGACCATATGTTGTATGATCCCATTTATATAAAATGCTCCAGAAAAGGAAAATCTATGAAGTAGTTTTAGGTGACCTACAGCTGGGGGTGCATATGTGGAAGGAACTTCTAATGGATACCAGGTTTCATTTGAGGGTGGTGAAAAAGCTCCTTAATTAGATGATGATAATGACTGCACAACCTATGAATATATTAAAATCCATGAAAATGTAACCTACATGAGTGAATTTTATGGTATAAAATTGTTTTTTGAAAAACCTCCATTTCCTCATTCTTATAGCTAAACACCAATATGAACCTTCCAGTCTGTCCATCCAGATTCCAATGAAAATCCTGCTACTTCACACTCAAGACTCTGCTCACATTGTTCCCCACCTGGAAACTCTCCCTAGGGTATAGCCAAGTCACATAATGGTTTTGAAGATTTTTCTAATCAAGTCAATCCTTACTATCATAAATTTCCTCTAGATTCCATATCACAACTGACAACACTACCTCCTCAAATATAAACATAAGGCAGTTTCACCTATTTCCCATCAATCTCTAATTCTTCCTTTAGTCTCTTTTATCTTCTCAGAGACAAACTAGTTACTCTAGTATCATAAAGACCAAACATAACTGTGGAGACTCGGGGCCTTAAACAAAGAGGAAAACGTGTATATCAAGGAATATTGTAAGATAAGTAAGAGTGAAGGAAAAGCATGCTCCTGCCTCCATTGACCCTGCCAACTCTCCACCTCTGAAGGACAGAACCTAAGTCACATCTTCATATCCCTCATAACACTGAGCACAGCATCTTGAACACAGATGATACAAAATATCTGCTGAATAACGAATGTCCTGAATGAAACTTTCTACATATGTATTCAGCAGTCCCCAACCCTTAACAAATATCCAACGTCTTAAAGCAGGAAAAAGACTTGAGGAAAAAACTAAAATAATGAGTCATGCATTCACTTCTCAGCAGTGTTTAGAAGTGCATGTTCTTACTGTGCATTTCAAAGTGGCTTGTTACTGTTGTCATCAAACCTGACACAGTGTTGTCAGAGTAAAAAAAGATCACTACTAAGAGAAGCTAAACTTTAAATATGAAACTGTTCCTTCCTAATAGTGGGGTGCCAAGATTCAAACTCCTTTGATGCCACATGCAGTGAGCAGAAAATTAACATAATGAAGGTTGCAAGGACACAGGTCTGTGGGGTGGAAATGAGAAGCAATGCTTTCAAAGGATAAGGGGGCAGAAGACAAGGCTTAGAGATGAACTTCTTAAAACAACAAAGACAGAAGGTCATAGCCAAAAGCTACAAATCCCTGAAACCTGAGTTATCGATAGATCCTGACGGTAGAAATCTAGGATCAATGAATTTAGGAGCATCTTCAGGTACTGTGAATAGGCAAGTCTAATTCCATCACAAAATTACTTAACCAGGACCTGAAATACTATGAATATAGAACAATTGTTTAGCTTCAGAAATCCTATCTAATAAAAGAGTAATATATAAATTAACCATCTCTCTATCACACCCACAAGCCACGCCCATCAGCCAGTCATGAGTATGCAAATTAACACAACCGAGATGGTTGCGGCCACAGAACAAGCAGGAGGCTTGGGTTTTCCCGGCAAAGGAGAAAGCTAAGCTTTCCACACACTCTGGCGGGCCCAGGCCTCCAACCAAGGCTACAAAGTTTCAATTACAGAAGATAAATCCCAACAAAAATGGCAGCAGCCACGGAGCTGGAGAGAGCAGGAGGTTTGCCCAGCAATGGAGGAAGCCAACCTTCTGCAGCCCTGGACAGCCTTGGCCTCTGCTGTTCAAGGCTACAAAGTTTCAATTATAGAAAATAAATAAATCTCAACAAAAATGACTGTGGCCACAGAGCAAGCAGGAGGCTTGGCTCTGCTCAAGGCTACAAAGTTTCAATTATAGAAGATAAATAAATCCCAGATAGCAGGTCCTCCACCTGGGTTGCCAGGGAGCATGGCCTGCCTGCAAACCACGACAGGCCCCTCGCTCAGGCTGTACCACACCCCAAGGAAACCCCCACGTTGATCCGGGACACCCTTCAGGACAAACTAGCTGGCCCCCGCCCATGCACCAGGCCTCTATCCTATCTAATAAAAGAGTAATATGCAAATTGACCATCCCTCTAACACACAAAATGGCTGCCCCCATGTGGACACAAGATGGCCAGCAGGGGAGGGAAGTTGGGAGGGATCAGGCTTGCAAGAAAGGGCAGTTGGGGGTGATCAAGACTGTAGGGGAGGGCAATTAGGGATGACCAGACTGGTAGAGGAGGGAAGTTGGGGGGATTGGGCCTGCAGGGAAGGGCATTTGGGGGGAATCCAGGCCTGCAGGGAAGAGCAGTTGAGGGGGACCGGTCCTGCAGGGGAGGGAAGATAGGGGTGACCAGGCCTGCAGGGGAGGGGCAATCAGGCTGGCAGGGGAGCAGTTAGGCATCAATCAGGCAGCAGAGTGGTTAGGGGGTGATCAGGCTGGCAGGCAGAAGCGGTTGGGGCAATCAGGAAGGCAGGCAGGCGAGTAGTTGGGAGCCAGCAGTCCTGGATTGTGTGAGAGAAATGTCCGACTGCCCTTGAGGGGTCCCAGATTGGAGAGGGTGCAGACTGGGCTGAGGGGGCACCCCTCCTCCCCCATGCACGAATTTCATGCACCGGGCCTCTACTATTATATAAATGTTTAAGTACTAAGTTGTACACCTGAAACTTAATAGTTAATTTTATATGGCAATTGTGGTTAAAATCCTAAAGAAGAATGAAAACATACTGAATGAGAGAGAGAAGTTATATATGTCTTGTATGAAAAGAATCTTGACTTCTCAGAGATAAAGAAATCAATAAGTAAATGAAAGAAATATAAAAAGTACTACTCATCCACATACATTTCTTTTTGTCCCATTATACTACTGGCCAATGATTTTAATCAGGATGGCAGACTGGCAAATGAAAGGGCTTTCAACTGCCCACAAATCAAAACACTGGTAAATTTTAAATGACTTTCACAGGCAGGCTGACAATGCTTGGAACTTATTAGGAGCTCAAAAAACGATTGCTAAATAAAGAATTAAAATAAGAGCCTTTGTAAAGTGTACAGATCATATATGATTTCTTATGAAAAACGTATTTTTTAAAGACCTTGAAAAATAATATAGTCACATGTATATTTTTCTATTTTACTGTATCTTTTAAAATATGACATATAAAAAATATTAACTAGGGGCTGCATTTGCACAAAGGATATCTTAGAATCTTTATTAATCTCTTCAAGTTTCTTTAGTTCACCAATTCAAAGATATATAAGAAAAGCAAATGGAGTATAGACTAAAAATCTACTTATTTTAGTTACAATGTAAGTAATGAAGGTGGTAGGACAGGAATTAGAGAAGTTTGAATTTTTACATACTTTTTTAAGTATTATTATTGACAAATTTTCAGGTTCCGGTCATGGTCTCTCCACATAGCTCTTATTAAATGTTAAAAAAAACCTTCAGATGAAAAATATCAGAGAGCAATATATCCTCCAAATGGGAAGAACAACTTACTTCAACTTGAAAGAGTTCTCCAGCCCCCTCACAGTCATTGGATGTGATTATTGGAGTATGAATATGCACAAAACCATTGTCCTGCAAGAAAGAGAAAAGCCACTTTTTTTTCAATATATTTGTATATGAAAACATTCCAGGAACACAAATCATTATACTCTTAAAATAGCATTTAGAGAATGCCATATCAAATCCTTTCCTAACTCCCCAAATAAACCTAGTAAATATCAAGCTGAGTTTTACTATTAATAGAAGCACAAATAATTTTAAATTAAAAAATGAGTTAGACATTATCTAGTCCAATTTCCTAATTTTCAAAGATAAAGAAATTGAGGTCCAGAAAGGTTTAATAGATTCCCAAGTCACACAGCTGGCCAGTGACAACCTAGGAGTGGAACCTAGGTCTTCAAGGTCTCCCTCTGGTACTGTTTCTTCCACTTTTTGAACCTACTGGGCGCGCGCGCGCGCACACACACACACACACACACACACACACACACACACACACACACACACACTAACCCACTCAAGGTTAATGTATAATAATGTTGCCCACATTGCTAAAGGAATACAAAGTGACCAATGTAAAGTTCAGTTATTTTGAAATGAGATCCTAAATTGTAACAAACCACCGAAAAGGAGAAAAATTAAGGTTGACAAATGGGGACTAAAGAAATGAACAGCAAACAAGGCAGAAATGATTTAGGAAGTCTGTCATTATATTGACAGCACAGAGCGCTGGACACAGCACAGGCAGTGCACTTCCTTTGCCTCAAGGAAGATTCTGAGCAGCAAATTACTGAGGAACCCAATTGAAATTTTTCCGCTCTAAAGTCTGAGACAATTTCCATTAGTGAATCACAAAAGCTGTTGCTAGTTGGTTTGAAATAACCCAACAGCTTCAAGGTTAAGCTTCTTTCATTTTTACTATGGATATAGGCAAAAAGTTACATTCAGCATAAATGGTACAGGGTGGAGATGGAGGTAACTAAAGGGGACTTAGGCTGCAAAGACAGAATAGTATGTGTTTAATGGAAAAGTTGTGGTCTTGAAATCAACACAATAAATTCATATAATACACTTCTAACCTCTGCTAAATTTTGCCTATCACTCGTGGAATATAAAATGTCTCAGGGTGTTACCAGGGACCTCCCAAGTTTGCCCCCTTCATAAAAACATTCAAGTATTCTGGCTAAGATACAAAGTATGCAGTTAACAACTTGCCTTAGGATGCAGACAGATTAAATATTCAAACTCTAAATTAGGAGTTTTAGAAAGTATTCAAACATGTACTTAATCTGGGAGCAACATGCCTAGGGGTGCTGCAGGGCACATTATAGAGAACAAATGAAAAATAATCAATAACAACATTACTGCATAAAATTTTTATCTCTCAGGAGCCAAGAATTATGGACATGAATCATTTATTCCACACAAGTGCAGGCAACTATGAGCATGAGCGCAGTAAACAAAGAAAGGAAATGAAAAATCCAAAGGAAACGAGGGTGGGGAAGAGGGAGGAGAAAATTTAACGGTTAAATATAATCCCCTAAGTTAGAACTGGTCAACTGCCACAAGAAACAACACTGTAAATCTTATAAAAATAACTGTACAAGATTTAAAAAAAAAAATCACTTGAGTAATGGGAGTTATTCTTAATGCTCCATTAATGCTAAACCTTTTAAAAGGTGTCACCTAACCTTTTAAGGCTTAATGCTTTTGCAAGGCTTATCATATCAAAGTCTAGAACACTACAGCCAAAAGCTATAAAAGATACAAAGGAAGAATAATAAAGCAATGAGAATAAAGTCCAAAAGTGAAAAAGCAGATAGGGAAGCAGAAAGATAAAATGGAAAATAAGCAGTAAGGAGTGAAGAAGCCTTGTCAGGAAATGCTCCAACGAGTGTGAGATACTTACTCTCTCCACAGAAAAGGTATGAAGGCCAGACAAGGAACCAAAAATAAAAGCAGACACTTTCATCAAATTTTTCAGATTGCACCCACTACCTGTAAATATCTAAATATTTTGAAAGATACACATTCTACAACCAACGATTTTATAAGGCACTGAGCATTTGAAAATTATAGGTGATGATTTCACACACATTGGTGTACTAAGGCCCACAGACACCACTCAATGACTCATGGACTATATTTTTCTTCCCCCTCCCCAAATAAGTATCCTTATTTATCAGAATGAACAATAACAACAACAAAATATGGCAACCAATGCTAGTTATAGGCACACCCCTGGCAACAAAAAGTAAAAGCAAAAGGAGAGAAAAAATCCACAGAAAGCAATCACAGAAAGGAATTCAAAGAGACAGCAGTCGGGTCATTCAACACAAGGGAAAGGAATACTCTACATTGTGGCAGGCTTTGAAAGCAATGCCATTCAGAAGAGTGAAAAATCTGAGAAAACCAAGTTATACAAAAAAAACTTTTGATAATCAACCCAAAATAAATAACTCTAAATGCTTAAAATATCCTAATTAAAAGGTACTGCTCAAGTTTATTTTTTCCTATATTTTTAGATTTGGAATTTATGAAGATTTTACATTTTTAAGCTTTAACATCTTTTTTGGGAGTCTAACCTAACAACTCCCAGAAATAGTACCAAATACTAGAAAACATATAACAATTATTTAATATGACCTATCGCTCTTCTGTGAGTTCTTTAAACAATTCAATCTTCATTATCTTAGGAACAATGGGTAACATTATAGGAGTTGGTATCAAGATTATATTTTCCAGTTCTTTATAATAAGTACCTACTTTATAATTATCACCAACAGTGCTAAAATTTCTTTTAAACTACTTAAAGTATCTTTTAAAATTTTTATTTTGATTTTTACTTCATATTTTTTCTAGCTTCTTTCCTTATTTTTAAATTGTTTACATTTTTACAAAAGCTTCAATAAAGAAATATGTAAAGTAGGTAAAGCCCACTTGTCAATGGACTGCCAATACCACCACCTAGTGGCCAAAATCTATAAAACTTTCAGAATTAAAACTGGTCCAATTTCATGAGCAGTTAAAGCCATAGAGGGGAAAACTTAAAATCGGAACCAATTTTCTGTTCGGTGGTTCAAGCGCTACTGAAAAAGTATATGGGAGTTGTATAAGAAAGTTTATGAGAATACATGTAAATGCCTTCTTTCGAACTAAAGTGCGATGATATTGTATAATGTGCTTTATTTTCCTTTATTTATTCAAAAATACAGTGTATGATTTAAAGTCATGATGTTCTTCAGCTGTTTTTTTTTTTTTTTTTTTTTTTTTTTTTACCAGAAATCAACTCTGCAGGAACTTTTTAAAGTGCAAGAACTCTCCTGGCATGCTACAATACCTCAAGGCCTGCATAAATTTGGATACAAGGAAGGGTATGTTATTAAACAATCTCTGCAAATTAGCTAGATCTGAACAAGTGGCATAAGAAGAGTTCCAAAGCGCATGGAATAACTGAACTTTATTTTCGGGATCACTCCTTGCCTTTTGGCCCTCTCCTCCTCCCCATTCACAGGGTCCCTTTGTAGGGAGTGGCTATAGGGTTAAGCCTGGGACTGACTTGTTGGCAAAGCCACAAACAAGTCCCAGTTTAGAGGGCACAGCCCTCTTAGCATAATTAAGCTTGACCTTATGACGCCCTCTATATCCTATGGGGTAGCTCATGGGCTGTGGGAGGTGCAGCAAGTGCTGCCAAAACAAGTGAAACTCACAAGAACATTGTAACTATTGTGACCACTACCTTGTTTACCTCTGTCTATAAAACAAAGGCTCAGCTTGCCATCTGGATCTCTCTCTGTGGCCTCAACCAGGCGCAGGAGATCCACCGAGAACCAGCTATGTTATCTTGTCTGTCTTTTCTTCAATCCTTCACCACCCTCCCTCAGGCTCACTGAATCCTTGGCTGAGCTGGCCCAGCACATCCCTTTACCTCATCAACTTACCAACAACACTTCACTATGGCTTTCCCCAGTGGAGGAAATGGCAAAAAGGCAAAACCAAACTAGACAAAATGTCTTTAAGTCATTAGATGAATCTAATTGATTTACTTTAGTAACTCAAAATCTACGCTAACAATATATATAAAATATGTCTATGATCAAGATGGAGAAACAGGGGGCCAGATTTACCCTCCAACCCGTAAAACCAAAAACACAAAAGCAAAACAAAAAAAACTACAAGAAAACCACATTAAAGAATGGTTTTTGAGATACTGAATATCAGACATCAAAGGACAGAGATTTCTGAGAGATGGAGACAAAACACACCAGCAGCCCAGCTTACTATCTTGAGGTTTTCCAGGCCATGGCAGGGAGAGGGAGTAATAAAGGGGAGCCCAGCAGACTCCCTGAGAATCTCAGAAGACAAAAGTGGCTAAAGTACCAGAGAGGAGAGAGCTGTGCAGAGAACTCCAGACATGGAGTATCAGGTACAGGAATGATCAAGCAAATGCTCGTGAGGAAACTATCCAAGGCCAGAGAAAGAACCACCCAAAAAGATGAGTGAAAACAGTGTCTAGTGTTCACGTGTGGCTGAAAACTGTGTCTGAACAAGCCAGAATGGAAAAGCTTGTAATCCCCATGGCATTTGGCAGAGACCCAGAAAGGCTTTGCCTCCATAGTGGGAAGTAATTAGTCCTAGATTGAGAACTTCTCCAGACCCACTTAAAACCAATGTCCAAAGGATCAAAGTTTTCAAATAACTGCATACCAGAATAAAGCTTAAGAAGCTTAAAATTCACACATAACCAAAGATTTGCAGGTATGCAAAGAGGTAGGGAAACATAATCCATAATGAGGAGATTAATAAATCAAAATTGACTCATAATTGATAAGTGTGTTAAGACCAGAAGAATCCTATCTAATAAAGAGGGAATATGCTAATTGACCCTCATACCATCACAAAGATGGCAGTGACCATAGCCAATAAGAAGGAAATATGCTAATTGGCTTCCCACCCTCAAATATGGCGGCACCCACAGCCAATAAGGAGGAAATATGCTAACAGACTGCCTTGCCCTCCAACACGGTGGCACCCACAGCCACAAGATGGAAGTGCCCAGTCCCCTCAGCCCTGCCAGAGTGACTGCCGCTGGAGTCCCCCAGTCCTCTCAGACCTCCAACCACCCAGGGCCAGCCTGAGGCACAAGCAAGCCTCAGATGGCAGCTGCCTAGCCACCCAGGGCCACCTGAGGCTCAGGTAACAAGAGGCAGCCGAGGTTTGTGCTGCTGGCAGTGGCAGCAGCAGAGTTGTGATGGGGGCATCGCCTTCACCTCATTGCCGGGTCACCTCCTGCCCCTGACGGCTCCCAGACTGTGAGAGGGGGCAGGCTGGGCTGAGGAACCTCCCTCCAGTGCATGAATTTTCATGCACCAAGCCTCTAGTAGGACATAAAAACAGACCTTTTACTGCATTGTATATGTTCAAAGCTGTATTGTATATGTTCAAAAGTTAAGTAGAGAAATGGAAGACATATTTATTTAAATGGTCTAACTCAAACATCTAGATATGAAACCTACAATGTGTAAGATAAACACACTCTGGATAGAAATAACAAATTAGGTATTGTAGAAGGAAAGATAAATTAATTTGAAGGCAAAGCAATGCAAATCATCCAAAAGAAACGCACAAAGAAAAAAAAATAATTTTAAAAAAGGAAAGAAAAGAACATCAGTGAATTCTGGATATATCATTGAAGGGGTCAAATATTTGGGCAGTTGAAGTCCTTAAAGGAGTAAAGAAACATGAAAGATTTTGAAAATATAATGGTTGAAAATAAAAAATTGAGCCAAGATACTCACCAAACACCAAACATGAGAAACATAAAGAAAACTGTGCCAAGGCACATCATAATCAAATTGCTCAGAACCAGTGATAAAGAGAAAATTTCATATCAACCCCCCCAAAATAGTACCATGTGAGAAAAGGGTATTTTCTGGATAATATTCCAGTGTTACCATTATTCAATTTTGTTACAAGACAGACCACTTGAGAAACAAAACACCTTACCTTAAAGAAAGAGTGAACAGCAGCTGTGGCCTCACTGCGAACTCTCAGTATAGAACCCAGGGCATTAGTTCTACACCGAAGATGAGGAAATTGTCTCAGATACTCCAGAGGAGGTCTGTCTTTATATTTTAAAGGGAAATCCTGCCAATAAGTGGGGGGAAAAATTAGAAGCTGAAAAAATAGTTTCCAGGGCATTTTCAAAATAGTAGTGCTTTAGAACAAAACTATTTATTTATTTCTTCGAAATTTGTGCATGGCAGTAGGGGAGGTGTTCCCTCAGCCCAGCCTGCACCCTCTCCAATCAGGGACTCCTTGGGAGATGTTCGACTGCTGGTTTAGGCCCCACCCCACAGGGGGCTGAGGCCTAAATCGGCAGTAAGATCTCTCTCTCACAATCTGGGACCTCTGGCTCTTAACCTCTCACCTGCCTGCCTGCCTGATCGCCCCTAATTGCCTCTTCCTGCCTGTCTGATCACGCCTAACCCCTTTTCCTGCTTGCCTGATGGCCCCCAACTGCCTCTGTCTGCCTGATTGCCCCTAACTGCCCTCCCCTGCTGGCCTGATCTCGCCTCCAACTGCCCTCCCCTGCCGGCCTGATCTCGCCCCCAACTGCCTTAAAACCTCACCTCACTCCCACCTTAGGTTCTGCCTTCGCAGTTCACCCAGATTAGGTTCTGATTGGTCTGTTTCTATGCCAGTCAGTGTCAAAAACTCCACCTCCTAGGCAGCCATTGGCTCCTTGCAATTCACCCAGATTTGGTTCTTATTGGTCAGTTTCTATGCCAGTCAGCATCAAAAGCTCTGCCTTCTAGGCAGCCACTGGCTCCTCACAGTTCACCCAGATTTGGTTCTGATTGGTCAGTTTCTATGCCAATCAGTGTCTCTGGGCCTGATCAGAGAGGCGGGCCTGATCAGCAGCCCCTGCAGATACCTGGAGAGAAAGAGAGGCATGGCTGTTGGTGAAGCCCAGAGAAAAAGAGAGAGGCAAGGGCTGACAACAGCTGCCATGGAGGCTATGGATCAGATCCTGCTTCTCTCTCGGGACTGATCAACAGCCCCTTCAGCAGTCAGTGCTGGGTCACCACAGCAACACAGCACTGACTGCAGGCCTGACTTGTGGTGTTTGGTCAAGCCTGCGTTCATTACAGTCACTGCCTTTTTATATGTATAGATATAACTGAATATAGTCCACATTAATTCCAAGTAGAATGGTGGTGGGGTGGGATCAGGGAGATGAGGGTTTGAATTCTGCTCAACTACTTATTAGCTGTGGATACACTTAATATCACCAATACTAATCTGTTATTTACAAAATTTCTATCTGTTAGCTTTTCAAACACTACTTACAAATAGAGATTAGGATATAAATATGCAAAAGAATCTATTTTGGCACACAGGAGTTCATAATTGTAGATATAAATATATTAAATATACACTGCTGGTATTTAATTTTAAAATTACCCAAATGTCTTGAAAGTCCACAATCATCCATAATCAATTGACACAGTTTAAGCACTGTTTAACCAACATGAGTATGAGGAAGGGTCAACAGCTATCTGTCATCTGGCAGAGTAGTGTATACAAACTTCTAGAGAAAATTATGATTTACCTAGAAGTATTTCCAATCCTACTCATACTCATAAGATTAAGACAGAAACAAATGTTCAGACCAAAACCAATTTCAACAAAGAAGCTGCATAAGAGAGCTACAATGGTAGCCTTTTAGACTCTATTCCTTTTCGGCCTTGTGCACATAGTAATTTACACTGTATAGAAAGAAGCACCGGACTTACTACATTAACTACATTTACGACCACATTAATGGAAATCTGGGGGCTGCTAGGGGTTCAAAATTCCTTAATATATGAACACTTAAAAATGACCAAAAAATGAAGGGAAGGAGAAGGTGAAGGAATCAACACCTACAGAATTCAAGGGAGAACAATTTAAGAATAGTAAAACACACGGTGAAATTTTATAGCCATATGTCCCCCTAAAAAAGGAAAAACAAATTATTTTCAGAGTTTCTTTGTTCAGCCCAAGCATTACAATACTCTGTCCAGTAGAATTTTCTGTGATAAAAGTAATATTTTCTATCTGTGCTACCCCGTATGGTATCCACTAGTTGCATGTGACTACTGAGCACTTGAAATGTGAATAATGACCCTGAGGAATGGAATTTTTTATTTAATTTTAATTTATTTAATATTAATAAATAGTCTCAGGTAGCTAATGGCTACTACATTAGAAATAACAATTCTAGATAATGCAAGTCTATTTCTTAACAATGTGGTCTGCCCTGGTCATTAGGGATGCTTGTAAAAGTGGCAAGTTTCAACTGTGACAAACACCACACAGAAATGCATAGACTAATATTTAGCTCTCACTCAGTCATTTTCATATATACTTTTTGCTACTCTCTCTACATTCCTTAGGCTCTATTGCCTGTTTCAATTATCTAGAAAGTCACAAACACATTCTAAGTACTCTTTTTCCAATAATCATACCTAAAACAAATTGCTAACGTTTTTGATTAAGCCTAAACAGCTTCCATAAAAGTGTCAGAAAACATACCTTGGGATCACAAGTTCCAACAACTTCAATTTTTTCTGCCTTCAGTTCCACATTTTGCCTTTTGTATGGACTTTTTACCAGCTGCCCTTGAATTTCCACTGAACAACCAAAGTCTAGTTCTCTATAAAAACAAAACACAGCATAAACAAGATTATCATTATACCCAACCCTTATTCTGATATAAACCTTGTATCAAAACATTAAAATACTTAATAACATAGAAGGGTAAATATTTAATTTTACCCTTAATCAGATTAAAAGCTGCAAGTAGTTAAGAGAGACTGAAGTAAAGAATTGGTGGGGGGATAGTGTCCCATGAAGATGGTAAAGGAGGAAAGGCCCGAGCTTGAAGGATCTTGATTCTGAGTATTTAAACTTGAGCCTCAAAGCTATGTGAAGTAGATTTATTTAGAAAGATCACACAGGGTGCAATGTGAACACTAGATTAGGGGAATGAGAACAGATGAGATAGGAAAAAAAAAAAAAATCAAAGTACTCACTTTAAAAATAAACTCACCTACTTTCTAAGTTTGAATCTGCTACAATCTGAAGGCTTTCCAAAGATGAACCATCATTTACATGCAGGAACAAGACTTCCTTCTGGGATCGGACTGAACGAACCCATCCCTAATAAAGAGAAATATTTCTAAGTTTGAGTTTAAAACATGTAAACATTTTACATTTTCATTACACATACCCATAGTAAACTAAATGAAAACGGGAAAACGTCCTCATAATCTTACCTTAACAAATCAGTTGCTTTAAGCTCACTCCTATCTATCTATCTCTATATATAAAAGCCTGAGCAACCAGTACAACCAGTCAACTGAATGACTGGCCACTATGACAACGCACTGACCACTTGGTGGTCAGTATACTCCCAGAGCCAACCTCCCACATTCCTCCCCCACCCCCACCCCAGCTGGCTGGCCCCGATCGGCCCCAAATAGCTCAGTCAGTGGCCAGGCAGAGGGAGCCCACTAGTGCATGAATTTGTGCACCGGGCCTCTGGTGCATATATAAAATTAATATGGTTCTTATCACAGTAAGATATAGTTTTGGCATGCCATCTTTTGTTTAGTTTTGTTAATAAAGCTCATCATTCTGAATACATGACAGACATTCCATTAGGTTGATGAGTCTAATTCACATTACCAATCCCCCTAATATTTGCTATTTCACATATTTTCTCCTATCTCTATGCTTCCTTAATTGAGTTATGAATAATAGGGCACTTATTTTGGTCTCTTTCTCTTTTTATATCTAATTTTAAGAAGGGAGATTATGTAGTTATAGACTAGAAGCATCTTTATAGGATTTTTCCCTCTTTACAAAATACCATACAAAGAGTTCTCAAGAAACTTCTTCGTATGAACACATTAAATATTACACAAATTTTCAAAGACACTCTGAATTTAAATGACAGGTAGGTTTGAGTACAAATGAGATGTCTTTAGGTAGGCCAATCGAAAACAGCTCTCTTACCAATCACACTTAAATTTAACTAGCAGAAAAGTTAAGGAAGAATATATTGAGTAATTGTGAAACAATTGATGGTGTTTTATTAACTATCAAACAAGTATGGGAAAAGCAAGATTATCCTATTTAGAAAAACTGTGCAATCATGTACCACTTAACGACAGAGATATATTCTGAGAACTGCATTGTTAGGCAACTTCTTCACTGAGGAAACATCATAGATGCACTTAAAACTAGACAATATAGCTGCTAAACACCTACACATTACTGCACAAAACAACAGGAGATTAAATCAAGCACAAGAGAAAATGATGCAATCTAAACATTTGGTAGATGCAAGATGTATGAGGCTGCTGCAGGTGTAACATGACATACTATTCTATTTATAAATAGAAGTATACTCTAAAATAACGATACAAGTATAGCATAGCAAATACACAAACCAGTAACATATTCATTTATCATCGTTATAAGTATTATGCACATAGCTATATGTGTTATACTTTTATACAACTGGCAGCCCAGGTTTGTTTACACCAGCATCACCACAGACACAGGAGCAATGGGTTATCTTATGACTGTTTCAGGTTACCACGTCATTAGATGATAGGAATTTTTCAACTCCATTATAATCTTCCTAGAGGCCCGGTGCACAGATTCATGCACTGGTGGAGCCCCTCAGCCTGGCCTACAGAGATTAGGTTGAAACCAGCTCTCCAACATCCCCCAAGGGGTCCCAGATTGCGAGGGCACAGGCCAGACTGAGGGACCCCATCGGTGCAGGATCAGGGCCAGGGAGGGATCACAGGAGGACTCCAGGGCGTGTCCGGCCTATCTTGCCCAATTCCGATCAGCCAGACCCCAGCAGCAAGCTAACCTACCCCCTGGTGGTCAGTGTGCATCATAGCAACTGGTTGAACTAGAAGCTTGGTGCACGGATTAATGCACCAGTGGGGTCCCTTAGCATGGCCTGTGGGGATTGGACCAAAACCAGCAGTCCAATGCTACCTGCTCATCCCAGCCCTTTGCACCCTCGGCCGCCACAACTCGGTAGGCTCACTGCCGCTCTGCTGCGGTCTCCGTGCGCCTGTCCTAGGGTGATACTGATGTGCCTATGGCCTATGATCAAAAGCAGCTGCAGGCTCGTGCCCAGTCAGTCCTGATCCTGGTTCTGGTCCCAATGGAGGAGGGGTACACGGGGGCGTGTTGAGAGAGGCTCATGCCGCCATGACTGAGCCTGCCAGCCGTGAGCCCTGCACCTGGTTCCAGTCAGCTGAGAGGCACTCCTGCTATGGGAATGCACTGATCACCAGGGGGCAGCTTCTGTATTTCCCCTGATGGTCAGTGCGCATCATAGTGATGAGGTTGAGAGGGCAGGCGGGGCGAGGGGGCAGGCGGGGCGAGGGGGCAGGCAGGGCGAGAGGGCAGTTGGGGTGGGTCCAGCTCCAGGTAACTGGACCCTAGGCCTAACCCAACCAATCTGGTCAGCCAAGGTAGCAGCACCACCCTCCCTATAAAACCCATTGATATGTTAAGTTCTTCCTCTTTCTCACCCATGCCCTCGTTGGTGTAGGTGAGACTGGGCTCGGACTAGTCCGAAATAAATACAGGCTTTCTGCAATTGCATCGGATTTGGCTCCCTGGTAGTCTTTGGGGTTTATGACACTTGGGCATAACAAGGTCACTGGTCAACATGTCACACAGGCTTTTATATATATAGATGGGGCCATGTCTTTTATGTGATTTGTCATTGACAGAAACATTATTATGTGGGGAATGACTGTACTGACCTTTATTTTCTCTGTGTCCCCACCACACCCTAGAGACAAGAAGCCTTCCTTGACTCACTCATACAGTTAAGGACTTCCCTTGCTATTTTCTCTAAGTTCATTATTTATGCCACTAATACCTATCATATTGTTGTAATTACTTGCTTTGGCCATCATACCAGGACTGTCCAACAAAAATATGTGAGCCACATAAGTAATTTTACATTTTTTTAGTGGTGACATTAAAAGTAAAAAAGAAACAGCCCAGCCAGTGTGGCTCAGTAGTTGAGTGTCCACCTATGAACAGGAGATCACTTTCGATTCCGGGACAGGGCACATGCCCAGGCTTCAGGTTTGATCCCCAGTGGGGGGCACAGAGGAGGCAACGACTGATGAGTCTCATCATTGATGCTTCTATCTCTCTCTTCCTCCCCCTTCCTCTCTGAAATCAACAAAAATGTATTTAAAACAAAACAAAGTAAAAATAGGTGACATTAATTTAATTGCCCCCACCCTCCTTTCTTTACTGCCTCCTCTGCAAACTCAGTTATTCTACTGATTTAGGCTTTTAGAAACAGAAGTTAGGAAGGAAGCCTTATATCTGCTTTCTGATATGCTCTTTAGCTCCCTTAAAAAAAAAAAAAAAATACATACCCATCCACCTACTTAAATGGGGGAGGAAGGGAGATACTACCACAGGTACGTATTGCCAGATATTTTCTAATCAAACATATATAGTATTCTTCTTCTTTTACTTGCTTCATCCTCAACCCAAACAAATTATGATTAGATTGCCTCCTCCCCATTATTTCAGTCATTGTAACTATGAGCCAGGCCCAGGAAGAGAAAGCAACAGCTTAGAGTTTAAGAGTCTGAGCTCATCAGGCAAACCATGTTCAAACCTCAGGTTTGTGCCTGAAATTAATTTTAATGCTTTATTTAAACCATTATGCCCACAATATTAACAATATGTAATCAATACAAAAACACTTTTTTTTGTTCTTCAAAATTGGTGTGTATTTTATTTACAGCACCTCTCCCTTCAGGCTACTCAGTGCTCAGTAGTATGGTAGTACAAGTGTTAGGCTGCTACTATTCTAGACTGCACAGCACTAAAATGAAAGCCTCTAACCTAGGCACCAAGTTCTCTTCGTCTTCGAGACCTTTTTAGACTAGCACATAAAAGGCATCATTAATGTATGTGAAATTAATAGGTGAATTCAAGAAAAGATTCTGATTTGGATCCTGGAAAGAATATGAAACCCAAAGAAATGCAGAGGGGTAGATTAGTCATATTGCTTTAAAAAAAAAAAAATTCAAGCCTATGCAAGGACAAGAAAAGTAACTGTATCACTATATTTCAGCAACCAAATACGCAAACCACCTTGCTTGGTCTGCTCCTATAAGAGGAAATCAAGGTGGAGCGGCTGCAAATATTATTAGCAAGAGAAATAATAGCTAACTTTTATTGACTAGATCCCTGTTCTTATACCTAGTATCTCACTCACGGGCTATTACTACCTTCATTTTTATAAGCGGAAACTGAGGTGTAGGCCACTTAAGTGATATGCCCATATAATTAGATTTAAACCTAGGCAGCTTGACTCCAGAGCTCTTTCCAGCTGCAGCAACACTCCACTCTTTTCCCTAATGGATTAAACGTTATATGCAAAGCTTCCTTTTAGATACTGGGATGGCTACACGTAGAATTAAAGGTAATGGTCGTTGGACAAATATTTACAGTCAGTCGTGCGAGAGAGAAGACCAAGACAGGTAAGACGTGCTTTCTAGCCTCAAGGAGCTAGTTCAACACAACCACCATACACCTGTGGGTGTTCATTGTAAGGGCAAACGGAGATGGGGCTCCTTCGTTTTTACTTCTCTGTATGATGAACAAGTTTACAGGCAATGCCCTGTACCGTGAGAGCAAAGTTCCCGCGCTTTATAGGAATAGCAACAGGTTTTTGGGAAAAGTAATGTTAGCCAACGAAAGGAGGAAAGTGTGAACGCACAGGACTGCCTGTCTACATTTTCTAACTTCCCCTGCGGGTTGTTCTGACCCGACAGTACAAGGCAAACCTAGATGTGGATGTGCCATGTAAGTGACTAAAAAGAAAAAGAAAACACACACACACACACACACACACACACACCATCCCCTTCCCATACACCAACCTGAACCGTAACGCGCTCCCCACTCGGGCTCTGGACCCTGAGAGCGTCCCGCACGCTCAGTCTGGCCGGAGGCTTGGGTCTCGGGCAGGGAGCAGAGGAGCAGGAGCGCAGGGCTCGCAGCAGACACCGGGCCCCGAGCATCGCGGGCGGCCAGGCCCTGCCTCCTTGGCACCAGCCGGGATCCTAGCGGGTTCACTCAGAACCTGCCAGCGGGGACCCTCCCGGCTCCGCCGCTCCCCAGGTCCGGGCCGCAGCCCGGCTCCCTCTGGGGCTCCCTTCCCTTTCTGGGGCTGCAGCTCGGTCCCCAAAGAACCTGTCCACTTTCCCTCTCCCCGAAGGGGCGGGGCGGGGACAACGCGGCGCGAGCCCAAAGGAAACCACGTGCCGCCGGCGGCAGGACGCCCCACGGTCCCGCGGGGTTCCTAAACTGCGCCCGACCCCCAGCCAAACGCGAGCAAGCGCCGCCTCACGTCACTACGCCAACGCCTGCGTCATCACGCTACGAGGAGGCTGGGAGAGAGCGTGCGTACGCACGATTCCACTTTACAGAGGAGGCGGAGCAAAGTGAGGGGCGTGGCCAGGAGCTGAGATGGGGCGGGGCTAAGGCCTTAAAGCCGTAGGGCTTAATAGCTGAAGGAGGGGCGGGGTCTGAGAGTCTTCATTTCTGAAGTTTGCTGGCGATGATGAGGAACAGTGAGAGGCCAGGAGGGACTGATGAAGGGGGAAAGCGTTCAGGAGACTTAGTTGGTGAGGGCATTAGCCTGCGGTTATCAGTCGTTCCTAAATTCTGAGCACAGATATAATCAAGACATAAGATAATATTTTCTGTGTAAGCTTTTAAAATTATTTTTGGGGATCATAGCTTGTTTTATTTTGTGCTATAAAATTAACAGTATTAAATTACATATATTCTTAGAAGAAAAAAAAAAAAAGACATAACCGCAGCTCAATCCCAGTTGTGTGGGATGGGACATCTAAACAGAGGGGTGCCCTGATAGAGCCTAAGTGTGGAATGCCAGGCATGGCTGAAGAGAGTAGCCCTCTCACAAATGAGAGAAACTGAAGAGACCTCGAATATCACTGGAGAGAGAAGGCACACAGTGTGAAGATGCTGTTCGGCATTGCCTACCAGACTCTTCAAGTCTCTCTTTCCCCCCAACAGTTATCTGCATTTGTTTAACCTGGAAATAGTGACCCTTTTATATATTAGGCTACCTTTAAAATGTATCCCAAAATATTTTTCCCCTATAACTTAGTGAAAAGGTTTCTAATTAAAAGAAGTAAAGGCCAGTTACTTAAATTTGCCACTGCTATTTGGCCCATTTTACAGATAAGAGAACTTAGGCACAGAAAAGTTAAATGACTTGCTCAAAGGTATACATCCTGTAAGTGTGAGATTTAAAACTCCCAAATCCTGGCTTCATGCACTAAACTAGCATGCTATCCAGTGTCTCAAAGTGGAAAATAAAATCACAGTCTCTTCTATCAAGGAGCTCATGGTATAGAGATGGAGACTGGCAAGGTACAATTGCAACATAAAATTAGTACACATAAATGGACCCAAGTGCCGTGGTGATCTAGAGGAAGAAATAAATAAGCCGAGTTTTTGAGGAAGATCAGAATTTAGCCAGTTTGGGAGTAAGAAAGAGTATTTCATGCCAGAAGGTGAACAGAAAAGGGTGCCAGAAGGATAAACAGCCTGAAAGAATTGTGAAATTGTTCTCAAAGTAGATTGGAAAATATTTCCCATAAAAATGCTACAGTTCTTGGGCACTTTTTGAACCTTGAGAAAAGAAATATGGAACTTCCAGTTAAATGCCTTCAGAATTATGTAGCTAAGGGCTTTAAGAAATAATATGCCTTCAATCTATTGGTTACAAAATCTGGGGAATGGGACAATCTGGGGTGCACAGCAATGATGTATTTCCCAGTTCAAATCCCTTTGAATACACCTACCTTGTTCAAGGGATCAAAAGTAGTGATCAGTTGGCTTACTTCCTACCAGAGCATTTGTCTATGTCAAATCATATGATCTTATTTTCATTTTCAATGCTGGAATGACTCTTCCCTTTTAGATTCATCACCTTTCAGACAATAGCTAGGGTGATCTTTCCAAAATTAATATATTAATATATTATGTCCATAATAATAATGGCTAGTGCTATAAACTGCTATATGCCAAGAGTTCTTCACATGTTAACTTAAACTTTACAATAACCCTCTGAAGCAGAGTTAGCATCCACACCCCCAGTTTCCAAAGGAGAAACTGAAGCTCAGAGAGGTTTCAATAGCTTGTACTGTTGTACTGGAAGCCTGGCACCAGAGTATTTTCTTATCCACTGTTACTGTGGTGGTTAAACCACCTCCCGTTGCTCCCTCTACCACACAAAGAGAACTTGCCTTTGTTAGCATGCCCATCAGGCTCTCTAAATCCAGGAAGTTCCTTGAGGTGTCTTTGTTGCAAGGTACAGATGTGAAACATCCTTATTGTTTAAAATACATATTAAAAATACATATTTATATATACATATAGATGGATACACATATATGGATTTCAGAGAGAGAAACATCAATGATGAGAGAGAATTATTGATTGGCTGCCTCCTGCACCTCCCCCCCCCCCCCCCCCCGGGGATTGAGCCCAAAACCTGGGCATATGACTTGACCGGGAATTGAACCGAAACCTTCTAGTTCTTAGGTAGACATTCAACCACTACACCATACAGGTAGGGCCTGATTGTTACCTTTTGATACTGCAGGTCTGTGGAATGAACACTTTTAGCATTACTGGCCAGCTTTGGGGGAAGGTTTTAATCTGGCTGGGCATAACGGGTTTCAGCTTAACTTGCAAAAACTTAGTGCTTCAAAAAGGTAGGTATCCTTTTACTCCCATATCCCATGTAGTCATGTATTTTCATTACACTTGAATTTACTCAATTTATTAGTGTTGGATAAGAAAGAGTATCTCAGTGTTTTTAGAGATTCTGTATTTTTTTAATCCTCCCCCCCTCAAAATTCCATCTCATCCATAACCCCCATCATTTATAGAATGTAATGAACAACATAAACTGATGAACAAAAACAGATCCAGAGACAGAGAAACACTTATCAGACCATCAAACCCCAGAGGGAAGGCAGGGGAGGGTGTGGGTAAGGGGGAGAGATCAACCAAAGGATTTGTATGCATATACAGTAAACCTAACCAATGGACACAGACAACAGGGGGGTAAGGGCATGAGTGGAGGGGATTAGGGAGTAATGAGGGAATAAGGACACATATGTAACACCTTAATCAATCAATCAATAAATAAAAAGATGATGCTCTAACCAACTGAGCTACCCAGTCAGGGCTCCTGAGCATCTTTCAGTATTTATTTTCACTGGGTTTTCTTCTTTGGTAAGTTGATTAAATCTTTTACCCATTTTTCTACTGGGTAGTCATTTTTCTAATTGATTTTCTTTTTAATCAATTAATCTTTTTAATACAAGTTCTTAGGTATATATTTTAGATAGGAGTTCTTCTCAGTTATAAGCATTGCAGATTCTTGACCTACTCTGTTGGTTGCCTTTACATTGGTTTATGGTGAGAAAATGGCTGAATGGTACCAAACCTTGATATTATTTTGTCCTTCGCTTTAGAAATGATGTTCCATTCTTGAAGAAAATTAAGACACTAAAATTCACCCTTTTGATTTTTTTTTTTCCAGCAATGTAAGGCCAGCATTTTTGTCATTTCTCCAGTCACTCTTCTTTACAAATGGAATTTTCCCCATTTAGATGTTTATTTTCTTAATTTTTTTTTTTTTTTTTTTGAATTGCAGCATTAATGGCCTCCTGTACAATGTCTGCTGATCTCCAGGGAGAAATCCCACAGCTTAGAACTTCACTGTGCTAGTATGCTGTTTGAGGCTGATTCTGGCTGCTTACAAATATTTCTTGTGTATAATTAACCTCTTTAATTTCACACCAGAACACAAGATAACTCATATATTATTTATTTTTTTTCTTTGGGATCACATAGTGCTTCAAAGATTGAGGTTAGCTTTTCAAAATTCCTTTGATGGACACGCTGCTTCATAAGAGCACTCCGTCCAATTTGAGAAAGCCTTTTTACAGCCTGCACCTACATTTCCACCTACATTTTGCAACATTTTCCATTGATGAGGTGAGACTGAAAAGAATACACAATTTTCCCTCCAAAGTTTCCGAAATGTTACACATAAAGAAGAAACACTTCCAAAATAGTAAAACTCCACAAATGTTCAGCTGTATTTTCCAGCGTGGAGTGATTTATCACAGTTTTAGTTTACAACTGAAAATAAAAAGCAGACTGGCTTTCGGTAAGAGTTATTATTGTTTGAAAATTCTCAACAGCTGTGTGCCCCTTGTTGCCTGCACCTTGGGCCGACCACACCCACCGGCCTCCCTTGATATTCCACTGCTTTTAAACATGGGCGTTGTCTATATACGTTTCGCAGATACTTTTAAGAAAGTTCCCTGCAATTCCTGAGGATTACTAATCCCCACCCCCAACTAGATGGTTAAATAGGTACATAATATTATAATTAATGAGAGACCTTTCTGGAAAAGTATAACCTCTGATTTAAAATATACACATTACAATGGGAGAAAATTTTGTCCTTTTGGCAAAGAATTTGGAAGACAGCATTTCCAGTAATCCATCTGACCATTATTGCTCAAACAATGATGTAAGCACTTAAGCACAAAAGGAGAGGATTTATCGTTTAATAAGACACCAGATCAAAGAGGAGGGGGCAAGGCCTCAGGCAGAGAGAGGAGTTGGGAGGTTACTGCAATAATCCAGAAGAGAAACCAGTCTTACAGTTCTTACAGTGGTTGGCACAGGGTTGTAGTTGTTGTAAGAAGTGCTCCAGCCAAAACCGGTTTGGCTCAGTGGATAGAGTATAGGCCTGTGGACTCAAGAGTCCCGGGATCAATTCCGGTCAAGGGCATGTACTTTGGTTGTGGGCACATCCCCAGTGCAGGGTGTGCAGGAGGCAGCTGATTGATGTTGCTCTCTCATCGATGTTTCTAACTCTCTATCTCTCTTCCTTCCTCTCTGTAAAAAAAATCAATAAAATATATATATTTTAAAAAAGAAGTGCTCCAATTCTGGACGT